CTCAATTCCTCTCCCATCTCCCCACATCGATTTCCTCCCAGCTCTGTGTGTTTATTGTTTACTGAACTGAGGGCCGCCGGAGTGTGTATGGGCATAGGGCTATCTCCTGAAGTAAGGGTGGCCCCTCAAGGGCTGCACCCTTGAAGAACACTGACTCTTTTCTGAGCAGCCATGATGCTCATGGCTCCTCGGCTGGGATGGAACTTCACGTCCGCCTCCCGTCTCCGTGCTGGGGTCCTGTCTGTCTTGAGCTTGCCGAGGTTTTTCGAGTGCTGTCACGACTGTTCAGGGTTCATGTGCACAGCTGCCCAGATGTATCCTGCAAACGGCTTCGCTGTAGTCATCCACCACCTCCGGCACTGACACGTTCCATTCTCTCTTCTACAATGATCCCTGAGCGTCGGGAGGGAAGGGGTGAGGTAGACGCCCATTTAGGACCGAGAGCTCCACACGCTCTCATTCTCTCTGTCAACCATTGACCACTACACACCGAAGCCTCTCCGATGAGGGTTGAGAGAGGCATTAATCCGTGCGTAAAACCGTAAGGTGTTTGGAGTCAGCTTAATACCATGTCCATTTAGCAGAATAGCAGTAGTAGGGAGGGAGGGAGAGTTTTAGAAGTTAATCTTCCCAAGGCTGGCCCCGTTGGCTTGCTTTCTGTAGCTGCTCGTCTGAGGGCCCTCTGTACCCACGCTCTGCCACTCTCCTGTGGCTGAGTCTAGAGACATGATTGCTGGGTAGTTCTTCCTAAGATCACTGGGGACCACCTTCTGCTCCTTCCGTATCACCTGGCACCCCTGACTACGTGAGGGGGGAACCTGATGTCCCAGGTGTCTTTCAGTAGCAAGTGGTAGAAACCTCAGACTGACTCCATGCCAAAGGAAATATCGTCTCAGGATTCGTGGGTCCATCGTGAACCCCAAAGACAAGCTGCATAGTCAGGCCCTACTAGATGGAACCAAGAGGACCAAGGTGTTTTTTTTTTTCTGTCTGTGTGCCTCTGCTTGCCATTGTCTGTCTGTCTGTCTGTGTCTCCCATTTATTTCCACAAGCCCCACCTCTCTTCATCCATCTTTGCCTCTTCATTCTGTGTGCATCTGTGTCTGCCTGGGAGATCTCTCAGGGCCATCACCAGGGAGAGCAGACGAAGGGCCTAGATGTGACACTGAGGGTATATATACTGCCTCCCTGGGGCCCACCGTGTCCTTACAGGGACCCCGGGGTGAGGGCCTCCTCCAGTGTGCCTTGGGTATCTTGCTCACCCACCTCGGCCGACACCTTCCTCTCTGTCCCTGTGACTCCCACCCGCAGCTGAGTGGTTCCCTCAGATCTCCTTTTATTCCTGTACACTTCAGTTGGCTGGCCTTTCCGCCTCCGGCAATGGTGGACGTTGGTGACGCTGCACATCTCTTGTGTCTAGCGTTCGGAATCTTCACGTCGAAATACAGCTCGGCTCATATCAGCCATCCTCACCTTGTCCCTCAGGGTCCTGCCTGTCCCTCAGCAGGGACCTGAGAGCAGAGATGGGATGAGGTGAGGAGGGACCTTTTAGGTCACGGGTCCCTGAAGAGTCTTTTCCTTCAATGCACAGTACAGTGCAGAAATACTTCTCACTGACGTTGTAGACTTCTTTGCTCTGGGGGCTTCTGGGAATTAGGGAGAACACAGACAGAGAAAAAGGTGATGGCTGGGAAGGATGGGCTCCGCAGCCCCCAGCTCCATCACACCATTCTCGAAATGCCTTCTGCCATAAGCTACCTCCTCCTCAGACACCTCAGTTCTTCCAGCTGTGCTGTAAAGAGTTCTGCCATCCCCCCATTGGGAGTTCTGGTGCTGCGCTGTGTGTGGTGAGAACATTCTGTCAGAAGCCTTGGAGAACTCCTCAGGAGATATCAGGGAGAGGGAGGTCCAGCTTCCCTCCTGGGGATGCCAGAGGAGGCTGGGGGAGGGCAGGGAGAGTAGTCTCTATCTAGTGAAGGCCACAGACAGACAGTTGAGACACTGATTTAGTGTGAGGAGCCCAGTGGCTGTGAAGGTGGAGAAGGCAGAGGCCCCCATGAGCCCCTGGCCAGTTTCTGGAAGGGCCTTGTCATTCATATCTCCCCTAGGCATCTCCAAAGCAGCAGTGGGGGGCGGGGCGGAGGAATGCATTCCCATTCTAATGGGGAAAACAGGACAAGCGGCATCCTGGGCTACATCTCGATTTCATGAGATGTCATTTAGTGGGAAAGGTTGCTCAGGGTGGGCATAGGTGGAGGAATGGCCTGGGGTGGGTGTATGCAGTGGGGGCTGCAGAATGGGGGGACTCTAGCTTTGAATTCACACCCCAATTCCTGCCAGGACTGTGTAGGACTTGCGCAGATTTGTCCCTGTACCCCGAATCTAGATTCTACTTTCAGTCACTGGGCTTCTGGGGGAGACAGGTACCACACTTCCAGCACCTCCAGACAGGCAAGAGACACCCCAGCAGAACAGGTTTTCTCCTGAGTGCTGAGTGAAGGTCACATGGACATTGACTCAGCCACCCAAGTCTGTACAGTTAGAATACATCCAGCTGCACTGTTCTTTACAGTCGAGTATTCCGCTCATTCAGCTGAGCCCATTATCATTGACTGAGTGCCATGCTTAGGTACCCATCCTCCAGAATAGCAGGGAAAGCAGGTGGCCACTTTAACCGGGGTTGGGGTGGAATTCTGTAGTAGCACAGGAGTCCTATCAGGGACGTCCAAGGGGCCTTCCTAGAGAAGGTGACATTTACTCTTGAAGGAGTTTGCCAAGTAGGAAAGGGAAGCCCCCTTAGCTGGGATGGGTAGCCTGACTGGCACGGAGGAGGGCATGGTGTCCAGAGTAAAGAGTATTGACAGAAGGATTTGATGGGCTCAGAGGGTGGACAGCACGGTCCACTGCTCTGGTGTCAAGCTGACCCAGGCGACCTGTTTAACCTGCAGCCACAGGCCCTGAATATATTGCTCCCAGCTCTGGACCTAGGCCTTGTGCAGGGGTAGGGGTTGGGATCCAGGTTCTGGGGACAGGGACTGTGTCTCCTCAGGCTGCTTAGGGAAAGGCTTGAGGTCCTGGAGCCCGGCAGGGGCAGGCTGCACCCGTCACCATGGCAGTTTGTGGGCAAAGCCTCTTGGCAGAGGGGAGATTGCGCCGCCAGCCACTTCCTCCAGTTCCTTCCCTTTGCCTGATGTCACAGTTACCTCGGCCTGCTCTGGGGTGAGGCTGAGGTTGGGCGGAACCACTTTCAGCCAGGTTTCTGGATCCTAGATGCAGGTCAGCCAGAGGAGCTGTCACTTCTGGTTCCGTTTCAAAGGAGGCCAGGGGCCTGGGAGGTGTCGGGTGTGGTGGCACTGATGAGGCACCCCTCCAGCAGCCTCCTGGGGGGCGGAGGGGGGTGCAGTGTGGCTTAAAGAGGAGTCTTAAGCTGTGACAGAGTTGGCAAGCCCAGAGCAACACCGCAGCTTGTGGCCTCTGACTTGGAGCTGTCCCCAGTCCAGCTGGCCCTCTGAGGCCTCCAGATTTCCCTGGTTGACGAGGACAGCACAAGCCACCCCAACAGAATACCCCGGGAGGAATGCGGCTCATGTGTCAAGAGTGTTTGCCTAGCATGCACAGGCCCTAGGTTCAGTCCCCGGTATCCAGTAAATGGTGGTAGCTAATAAATTTGTGACAGCCTCCAGCTACAACCTTAGCACCCAGGAAGTGGAGACAGGACAATGATAAATTCAAGGTCATCTTTGACTACATAGTGAGCTGGGGAACAGCCTTGGCTACATGAGACTCTGCCTCAGGTTTTTGTTTTTTGTTTTTTTGTTTTTGGTTTTTTCGAGACAGGGTTTCTCTGTGTAGCTTTGCGCCTTTCCTGGAACTCACTTGGTAGCCCAGGCTGGCCTCGAACTCACAGAGATCCACCTGGCTCTGCCTCCCGAGTGCTGGGATTAAAGGCGTGCGCCACCACCGCCCGGCTTTTTTTTTTTTTTTTTTTTAGAGCAGAAAGGTTGAAACTGATGAAACCCGAGTTCAAGATCTGGCTCTGCCATGTCTTTGTTGAATGGCCTTGCATAAAGTGACCTTTTAAGCCTCAGACTCACGGTCTGCAAAAATGGGACAGTAACAACACCTTCCCAGTGCTGTTACTTGTTCTTGAGGATAGAGGGGTCTGTGTTGAAAGCGTTTGCCAAAGGAGGCAAGAGGCAACTCCTGTTATTATTGATAGTGAAACTCTAGCACCTGCCAGGCAGGGTGGGTGAGTAGGTGGCGAGTTTTTGCCCCTCCTGGGTTATGGGCCTTACTTCATGCAGCCTGGATTCCTTAGGAGAGACAGGCTAGCTTGTGATCTCAGGGGACTCTGGGATGTGTCCTGGCACCTCCTAGCTGTCTCACAGCTGGAGTCTTGGGGGAGTACTGGAAGGGGAAGAGAAGCCAGGTGAGGGGACAGAGTCATTGCGACAGCCTGGGGAAACAGACCAGAAGTTTGGGGGACTAAGGAAAGGAGCCACCTAGGTGGGCATGGGTCGGGGAGGGTTTGAAATCCCGACAGAAGAGGTGGGGTGAAGATAGTCTGGGAGGGGTGTGGGTGCAGAATGGGAACCTGGTCTCTGCCCAAGGTGTTTTTAAAGGAAGTGCCTGGGAGCTGCTGGCCTGGAAAAAAAAAATCACACCCAGAGGGCTTGAGCTAGGCAGAACAGGTTGCCCCGCTCCCTTGTGGGGAGCTGCCTGCCTCCGATGAGTGGACTGGCCAGGCTCCCAGCCCCAGAAACTCTGGCGGAGCCAGGTAGCCCTGCCCTTAGAGGACACCGGCTCCTCCCCAGGATACCCACCTGCTCCGAGGAGGAGCCTCCTATGACCAGGAGACCGATCCATCCCAGCAGCCGGAGGTGTTGGCTGAGATGTGGGTGCCTAAGGGGGATCTGTCCCCCTGTCTGGCCGCGCGTCAGGTGGGGAGCTGTGCCCAGGGCCGCCCGTGGTGTCTCATCCGTGGCTCTGTGCCCTCACAGCTAGACGAGGACGAGGAGAGGAGGAAAAGGCGTAGAGAGAAGAACAAGGTCGCCGCCGCCAGATGCCGGAACAAGAAGAAGGAACGGACGGAGTTTCTGCAGAGGGTGAGCCGGGCAGCTGTGGTGGGGAGGCACCTTGTCCTTTGCAGGGGCTGCTGTGCTCCGCAGCTGGGGGGGACGTCACCGGGGCATGCCAACCCAGAGAAGGTAGAAGGATCCATGGTTTTCTCCGCTGAGCTTAGATCCTGGGTACGATTGACCTGGCACTATCCATTTTGGCCCCTTGTGGCTACCACAGTATTCTAGGGTTCATGTTAACAAAGTAGGATGTTGAGTGGCAATGTCGTGTCTGTGGGCAGTGCATGTAGCTCCTGGGCTGGCTACCAGGAAAACCTCCATTTATTGCAATTGCATCCACCCTGCATCCCCACTGGCTAGGGCTTATGTGGGGCGTTTACCCACCACCCCCACAGCTCCCCAGAGTTTTCTTGAGTGCGAGCAGCAGGAAATATTAGATAGAAGGATTTATAGCGGAGAATATTGCGGAGATAAACAGATAGAAAATAAAGGAGAGCCTCGAGAGGGCCTGGAACCTTTTCCAACGGGCCCCGACTGTCTCTGCCCCAGGGTATTTATAGAGACGCCAAGGGGTGGAGCAAAAGACCTCCTCCCCCAGCACAGCCAAGTGCAGACCATCTCAGACACCTGCACTCAGGCCCGTGGTCCTAATCATCCTCTATGCGGACCTGCTGGGTAAAGCCACGAGGAACCCGAGAATGGGCTCCCACAGGCTTAGCCCCACTGAAGATGACCTCTGAACTCTTTGCTGCTTCCTCCAGGGACCAGAGGACTGGTCTGTATGTGGAGGTCCGCCTCCGTGTGCTCCCCTTTGCCTCCTGCTACCATCTGCCTTTTTACTTGTGATATGCCTAGCAGGGTGCGTGCTTTTTCTTCCCCTGGGTCCTGCCTCTCAGTCCCTGCCTTTGTCTCAAAAAATGGTGGCACAGAAGGGAAGTGAGCGGAAAGCCGAATAGTCCGTCCCCTAGTCAGCCGCGTCCCACCCCAGCACTGGTTTTCCTGAACAGTAGCAGCAATGCCATACACTAACCTAACCGGCAGGCATTGTTGCTCTATGGGACACCACAGTGATGAGCAGCCATGAACCTCTGTAGAGCCAGGCACGGTGCTAAGGGCTGCCTGTGTGATTTCACTGTGCTGGCAGAGCAGCCACGAAGATAGGGAGCTGCGTGGTTCGCTTTCTGCAGGTGGGGTAGACATGGTGCAGATGGCGACCCGCCCAGGTCTCTCGGCCACCAAAGGGTGGGACTGAGGTCCAGGCCTCAGGTCAAAGCCTCTGGTCTTCATGTCCCCATTGCCGTCATGATTCTCAGTTCCTTGGCTGGTTCATTCATTAACTCACTGATTAATTCAGCCAGTGCAGAAAGTGTCCAGTGGTGCACTAGGCACACAGTTAGGGGACAGAGCAAGAGTAGACATTGTCCTTCTTGGGTTTCCTTCTCGCTCCTGCCAGAAGTGGAGAGCTGTACTGGGGTCACAGGTGTGAGCCGTGTGAGCCGTGTGTAGACCTCTCTAGCTGTGGGCACCCTGGGCAGGCCAGTGCTTATCAACAGGACTCAGTCTCCTACTGCTGGGCGGTCTTGAAGCGAGGGTGTGCAACGCAAGGCTTGAGATTGTTCAGCAGGTTCTAAGACACAGGCCTTAAAGCCGAGGGGCGTGTTCCATGTTTTCTGTCCATCGCTGAGTGCCTGATGGACAGAGCCGGGAGGTGCAGGCAGGCTTCTTAGGAGAAGCTGCCCATGCAACTCCAGCTTCCTGGAGCTTGTCAGCAGTTAGCAGGCAAGATGGGCCCACCCCAGAGGCTCTCGATGACACACCAGTACACTAGAGAGCCAGTACCAGATGAAAGGCTCTTCATTCTACTAATACTTGCTAAGCACCTGCTGTGTGCCTCGATAGTTGGTGCCAGGTGAACTTGTCAAACCCTTACCGTGTGCCGGGCATTTCACATGGTGACAGTGTTTCAATAAGGTAACATCAGTTTATTCCCATTTTAGAAACTGGTCTGTAGTTCGGAGAGATCAAGTTGCTTGCCCAAGGCCACACTGCTAGCAGATGGAGGGCGGGGACTCATCCATCTTTCTGTCTAGCAGGTGATAACCAGGGGCCTGCTGCACTGTGGGTCAGTGGACCCCGTTCTCCGTGGACAGCAGGGGGCAAATGGGGGACAGTAGCTGGTGAGGAATGTTGGTTCAGGAGCCCGGAGTGCTGTGGGGACATACTGCGCTGCTGCAGGGGGCCCCTCCTGAGGATGAACGGAGGAAACTATTTCAGTTGTGAGATAAAATGGGAAGGCGCGGCATGAAGAAGAAAAATGTGGGGCTGAGGGGGCCGTCAGCAGCAGCACATATGAAAGCAGATGATGCTGTTTAAGGATGTGTCCAGGGCATGCAAAAGAACATTATTAGTGTTGCTGGGGGTTAGATGCCCACATGGAAGAACAGAGGGGCACGCAGGCCCAGAGCCTCGTTTGGAAAGGGATCCTACATGCTGGCTTGTCTGAAATAGACCGGTGTATCCCTCTTGTCCTGGCCCAGTTATTAAGATACCTTCTTCCACTCATGGAGTGTCCCCATTACACGATAATGTCTGTGGTCGTGGGGAGCCATGACAGGATTCAGGAGGAGAAAGGCGCCAGCTAGTCGGAGAAGTCCACTGGCTGCGGGGCTGTCCACTGGGTTGGGGCAGCTGAAGTAGTACTATGTTGTCCCAGTAAGAGACGTGGCAGCCTAGATGGAGAACACTATGCGACCTTGGGTCTAGGAAGCAATACCATGTGGGCTCCAGCCCAGTCCCCTCTTCCCTAGATACCCCCCCACCATCTGTGGCCTTGGAAGCAGCAGACTGGATGTGAAGGCAGGCCACTGTGTGGGTAGTGCCTATGGACTGTAAGCCTCACCCCCACCCTGATCTCAGGACACTCACATGCAACCCAAAGAGAGACAACCCCTCAGAGAGTTCGCCTCTCTAGATCAGCCAAGGCCTGAATTTGGGTGGTCACACACCTTTGGAAGGGTCAGTTCACACCCCACAGATCTTGGGCCTACCCCAAAGCCTCTGTCTGCAGCCCGAGGTATCTCTCTGCTATAACACTGGTTTCTGCTGGGCCATTGCACCCAACGCAAGAGTCTCTGGGCCCTGGAGGCAATGAGACCATATTACATTCCCAAGATACTCTGTGCTCTCTCCAGGCGCTCTCCTCCTGGTGGTCGCATTGGCCCTGGAAGGGTGAGAAGGGTCCCCTCTGTTGGCAGGTTTCCGAGGGGTGAGTGGGTAGGCCTCCTCCACTGCCCAGCTCTCTCTACTCAGATTGCCCACACTCCAAGAAATGGGGAAAGCTGTTCACAGTAGTGTAGTTAGGAGACAGCCAGCACTTGGCCCAGACACAAGCTGCTTCCCAGCCCTTAGGAAAAGTTGATGGAACTCAGTTTTATGTCCCCTAGGGCGTTTTAAAATATAAAGTCAGGGCTGGACATGGTGGCGCACGCCTTTAGTTCCAGCACTCGGGAGGCCGAGGCAGGTGGATCTCTGTGAGTTCAAGGCCAGCCTGGTCTACAGAGTGAGTTCCGGGACCGCCAGGACTACACCGAGAAACCCTGTCTCCAAAAACAAAATCGAAAAAGGAGGGTTTAGTGACGCTGTGACAGTGAGGCCAAGTTGCCCAAACCCTCTCTGGCTGTGACACAGATGTCTACAGAAGGGGTTGACGCTCCACCGCTGGTTTGGAGGAGGAAGGTCTGTGTGGTGCTGAATGCTGTGTTTTATTCTTCCCTTAGGCTTTATTTTATTTCATTTTTTTTTTATTCCTGTTTTGGGTGTGGGAGACAGCCTCATACACACCAAGCTGGCTTCAAGCTTGCTGTGCAGCCAAGGCTGGCCTTGAAACCCCTAACTTCCTGCCTCCAACTTCTGAGTGCTTGAGTTGCAAGCTAACACCACTACGATCAGCTAGCCATGCCCAGCTTGAACTTCAGGCGCAGCACACTGGAACCGAGGCCAAACTCCTTCCAGACCCCAGGCAGCACTCCCCAGCCAGCCCAGCTCCCCTCTCAGGTTCCATTCTGGTGCCCATGCCGCTGTCGCCCTCTGCCCTGCCGCCTCCATTTTCAAACTCAGGCGGTCCTCAAGACTTGCTGAGTTGTCCATGAAGCATCTTTCTTTCTCCTACTCGCTTCCTGCTCAGAGGGTAAAGGAAGGCTCCCTTAAGCCCCTCTAGCCCTTCAGTGTGCACAATGCTTTCCCCGTGGGAACTCTTCTAATCCCAGGGATCATCACCTCTAGAGAGATAAGATAACTTGCCCTAGACTCCGATTCTAAACCTACAGTATTTGTATAGCTCTCTCCACTCTGTATCCTACTGGTCCAAGAGAGCAGAGCACAGTGGTCCCGGCTTATCTCTTCACGAATGGCACCTTGCCCCTGCCTCTCCTCTTCACTGAGGGCTCTTACCCAGACTTCCTTCTGTAGCTAGAGTTCTCCTGCCTGGCCCACAGTCAGGACAAATCTCTCTCACCCGCCAGTCCCACAGCCGCTCAGACCCGACCAAGTAAACACAGAGACTTATATTGGTTACAAACTGTATGGCCATGGCAGGCTTCTTGCTAACCGTTCTTACAGCTTAAATTAATCCATTTCCATTAATCTATACCTTGCCACATGGCTCGTGGCTTACCGGCATCTTCACATGCTGTTTCTCATCATGGCGGCTGGCAGTGTCTCTCTGACTCAGCCTTCCACTTCCCAGCTCTATTCTCCTCCTTGTCCTGCCTACACTTCCTGCCTGGCCACTGGCCAATCAGTGATTTATTTATTGACTAATTAGCAACACATTTGCCGTACAGAACATCCCACAGCATCCTTCCCTCAGAGGTCAGCTCCTCACTGAGCTGTTAGCGCTCCTTGCTGGCTTGCTGGTCTGCTGCACACAGAATGGCTTGCTGTGTGCTGAGTGGACCCTCCTCAGGAGCATGGGAGGGACAAGCAGTTCACAGGGCTTGGGATTCCCCAAAGTATTCACGGCAGGCTGAGGCACATCCTCAGAGGTGGGTAGATGGCCCCGAGGCTTCTCAATACAAAGGCTGAGGACAATCTGAAGATTGTGTTAGCAGCTTGGGCTGGGGGAGGTGGGGAGGATGGAGGAAACACTAGCCATCTCCCCGATTTCTGAGAAGTGTGGACCAGGCCAGCATTCCGGTCTTGTCTCAGCCTGTCCCATTAAAAGCCACCATAGAATTTTTTTTTTTTTTTTTCCTGTAGCTTCCCCTTAGCATTTCTTTTCTACTTTTTGAAGCTGTTGCTTTGGGGGTCTGGTTCCAAAGCCTGCCTTCCCTGGCCATTCTGAGCATTTCGGGAGCCCATGTGGCCACCTCAGAGATATGCACAAGGCACAATCCGGCAGTGTGAGGAAGATGGCCCCTCACGGGAGGTGTGGGGACTCCACGGAAGGCCCCAGAGTCTCAGAGAGAGGCTGCCCCAACTGCACCCGCCCTGGGCAGAAGGACCTGTCACACAGCCTCTGTGACTAACACAGGTCACTCAGCATCTGCACCATTGGCGTTTTGGACCGGAGGGTCCTTGCGAGGGTTGCCTTGTGTGGCATGGTCACAGCATCTTTATTCTTCACACTCCATCTGCCAGTCACGCTGACTTAGCTGTGAGAGCCAAACACTTCTCCACACCCGGGGACAAGGTCATGCATGCCCAGTGAAGAACTCGCCGGCCCGAGGTGCCTCAGTTCACACGTGAGGAGAGCTTTCAGGTACCGGCTCTAACTGAAAAGCAGGAAGACCCATTGCTGGGTCCCTTGGTCCTGTTGTGTGAGCCCCAGGCCTTGACCAGGCATGCTTGTCACCTGTCCCCACTGTGAACACACAGCCCCACACCCCATCACACCCTCAGCATCCCTTCCTCTCCTCAGGGCTGGGAGTGTGTAGGAAGTCTCATCTGAGATCAGTTTGGATCCAGCAGATTGCTGGTTGATTGTGTACGAAACTCCTAGATTATGGGGGATACCGAGGGAAGAAGTGAGGAAAGGTCTAAGTAATTACAAGCTAATGGCCCGGAGGCACGCGTTTTAGGAGGAACGGCCTCGCTGGGTTTATCAATCCCAGCATCAAGACTATTCTATCAAACATTTGACTCGTAACAAAGCACTTGGTCCTGTGGGCCACCACGGACTACGCTTCATGGGCCTGCTCCAGATTCACCTGGCCTCCATTCTTGGCCTGCCTCCCCGCCTTTTTTTGGCCCCAAAATCTTGTTGCAGGGGAGCCTTTGGGTGTGGTGTTTAGTGAACAGCAAGGAAGCCATGAGGCTGGAGTCGGTAGAAGAAAGGGAGAGAGGAGGGATATGAATCGGGCTATTCCCCGTGTATCATTTGGACCCATCCCACTGTGGCAGAGGTCATTACTGTGTGACAGGCAGGGCACTGCCTGCAGAAAGTCACCCCAGATGCTCAGCCTTCAGTGGGACCTGGAAGGCAGAAAAACCATGCCAGCAGTACAGGTGCTGGCCAGAGTGCCTGCCTTTCTTTCTTTCTTTCTTTCTTTCTTTCTTTCTTTCTTTCTTTCTTTCTTTCTTTCTTTCTTTCTTTCTTTCTTTCTCTCTCTTTCTTTCTCTCTCTCTCTCTCTCTTTCTTTCTCTTTCTCTTTCTTCCTTCCCTCCCTCCCTCCCTCCCCCCTCCCTCCCTCCCTCCCCCCCTCCCTCCCTCCCTCCCCCCTCCCTCCCTCCCTCCCCCCTCCCTCTCTCCCTTCCTTCCTTCCTTCCTTTTTTTTTTGGATGCCTGGCTACTTCTAAGGAGCAGGCTGGCAGTGACAGCTGACAGTGTGTCTCTTGTCTGCACAGGAGTCAGAGCGGCTGGAGCTCATGAACGCAGAGCTGAAGACCCAGATAGAGGAGCTGAAGCTGGAGCGGCAGCAGCTTATCCTGATGCTCAACCGCCACCCGCCCCACCTGCATCGTGCGCACAGACAGTGTCAGGACGCCCGAGTCCGAAGGCAACCCGCTGCTGGAGCAGCTGGACAAGAAGTGACTGAAGGCCTGGAGGAGGCGTCAGAGGAAGAGGGGAGGGGGGCAGAGCAAAAGGAGAAGAGGAGCGTGGTGATGGAGGCCCCCTCCCGGGCGCATGACAAACTCTTACGATGAGGCTTAGTATAGCTGGCCTCCAGCTGGCCCTTTTCTGAAACTCAGCCCAGACACGCAAGAGCAAGAGTGGACTGAAGAAACCAGAGGGACCAAGCGATGAGACCAAAGTTGACCCGCAGGTAAGGGCTGTCCCACTCCAAGGCTCAGCTTGATGGCCACCTCAGCCAGAGAGATGCCCCACCGGGTAGCCTCCTCAGGCACTCCTCTGGCCTCTCTGCCAAGACTCCCACCCAAGGGACTCCCGAGCAGCCAAGAAAAGCCATGCACCACAAACACGGCGTGGCCGAGGAGGGAACTCAGCGTGGACTCCAATCCATCTTCCCCAGTCCCGCCCAAGACCGATGGAAAGGGGTGCACTGTGTGGGCTGTGATGGCCCTGCCCAGGTGGCGCAGCCTGGTGGCCCTGCTGGAGTTTGCTGTGGCATTGAGGCGCGGGCGCCCTTCCAAAGCACACACTCAATCGTTGAATGTTTACAGACTGGCTGTCCTGGCGGGGCTTCCAACTGCACATGTTTTTTTATACTTTCTTTTTTTTTTTTTAATATTTTTTACGAAAAAGAAGATTTTATACGAGCAATATATATATGGATTTCTATAATCACTCAATGTGACACAGTACATATATGCTATGGTCTGTTGTTACGGACATCCACCCACCAGTTACAGCCATTCTAATTCCTAAGTACTGTAGGCTCTGGGTGTTGGGGGGTGGTGGCCTGGCGGGTGGGGTGCATTTCCATCCTTGTAAACCCTTCCTAGTACTCAGTCCTGTATCGCTCAGTAAACATTGCTCTTAATTACCCAGCTGCCTCAAGTGGTGTCTGCCCAGGGAGAGGGCATGCCCAGGGCAGGAAGTGTTTGGAGTAGTTTCCATAGCTGCCCTCCCAGGTAAGCCTGAATATGCCCATTTCACGGATGAGGAGGCCAAGGTCTAGAGATGTTAAAGAACTCTGTACATACCATTTTGAGAGTGCTTGCTTCATTTATTTAGGCCAAAGTTTTTTTAATATTTATTTTTATTATTTTTAAGTGTGTGTGTGTGTGTGTGTGTGTGTGTGTGTGTGTGTGTGTGTGTGTGTGTCTTTGTGTAGATATGTGCAGAGTGGAGTTACAGGCTCTTGTGAGTCTCCTGATGTGGTTGCTGGGGATCAAACTTGGGTCCTCTGAAAGAGCAGTATGTGCTCTTCACTGCCGAACCATCTCTTTCCGGCTTCCACAGATGTTTTTTGAGTGCACCCTTGAGTGTGCCAGACACTGCAACGAACTGGACCTTTGCTGGGGAGTAAACAAACCTTGGTCTTACCCTGTGGAGACCACAATGGGTTCATCTTGTACTTGTTTGCTTGCTTCAGACCCATCTTCCCTTCATCTGTCTGGCAGCTCTTGTCAAGGGACAGTCATTGGCCCCGTTCATGGATGGGGATTTGGGGGACCCAGGGTGACAGAAATGAAGCCACCATTTGTTGAAGTCATAACGGCCTGATTAATGTGAAGTCCCATGTACTTCCTACAACAGCGCAGAGCAGAGCCTCTTCTACAGATAGCTTAACTAAGGTTCGGAGAGAACACGTGACTTACCCCAAGGTCACTCAGCTAGTGAGAAACAGAGACACCTGGCTTTTCCCATCACCAGCTGCCTCTGACTGTCCTTATGGATGAATGCTGCACCCCAGGGAACAGGAAGTTTAGAGGCCACCATTACAGACATAATTTGGGAGAAAGCTGTGGACTCCAGAGAGTTCTAGGTTGGCCCACGATGGTGTAGTGAACAAGCTCTCCCAGCAAAGGTGTACCTGACCTAAGGGACACATATCTCTCTCATCTCCACAGTCAAATTTCCTGTCCTGAAAAGCTGGAGCAGCTCAGTGCTGTTCATACAGCAACGACCATTTACTTAGTAGTTTGCAAAGCACAGTTAGATGTGTTATCTGTTTCTGTTAGGGTTCTGTGAGGCAGGCAAGGTGGTTGTCATTAGCTCCCTTCTACCTGGAGGCTTACCAAGCTTTGAGTTCACCTGGCTACAGAGAAGTGGGATGGGAGTAGACTCCATAATGCTTCTTCCTGGGAACGGGTTTCTTCTGGGGCCAGGTGACTTCTTGACGTTAAATCTTTGTGCCAGTGGCCTTGAGTGATCTCTCAATCATAGATAAGGCCACTGGGACGGACGGAAATGGCAAATAGGTCACTAATAAACAGCTGGTCCCTCTCTCCTTCCCCTGTGTTCCCTCTATCCGACTTGCCTGGTGTGGTCTGTCTACCCAGAGCCCCAGCCTGGAGACAGAGCCTGGCCAGCTCACTGTCTGCCATGGCAGCGCGCAGTGGTAACCTGCCCCCTGTGTTCCTTTACAACTTTCCAACCAGGAGAAAGAGGAGAGTGAGAATTTGTAAGAGCCTTCAAGAGGCCTGTAGATGCCTCTGCAGGTCCTCTGTCCACCCCAGGCTGTGGCTTCTTTCATTTCCTGCTGGGATACCAAGACCTGGGCTTGCATAGATGCAGCCCTTTTTAGGCTATGCGGATGGCTGCCTCCCCAGACCAGTCGCCTAAACTGCTGTTCCTGCCATGGTAGCTTTCTCCTCCGTGGTTAGAGGCACTGGCTTCACCACCAGAACCAGCTCTCAGGGGTTTCCTGTGTGTCACACACACACACACACTGCGTTGTGATACAGCTGGTTCACATAGCCTGTCTGAGAGGTCCGTGCTACAGTCTCAGCTAGAAGGACAAGGCCGAGAGAGGAGGGACCTTGCCCAAGGTTACAGACCTGTTAGGTAGCAGTGCTGAGATGCTATTCTAGGCAACTCTGGTGGCTAACAGCTGGCTCTGTGCCTCTCTGGGAAAGAAAACGATCTGATGAGACCTCAGCTGCCAGAGGATCACGACAGGGGACGGAAGCGATGGCACAGAACCTCATGTGTTCACAGCACACATGGAGTCCCCAGCTCTAATGCTCACCCACAAACCAGAGCTTTGTATTCTTTTTTTTTAATCTGTAAAGTGGGACAGTAGGATCCTAGTCTTTCTTAGGGGATGTTATCAGGCTCAAAGAAGGAATACAGGCAAACGAGCATTATCCTGCCCTCTGTTAGGCTAGCTGGTATTTATCAAAACACAGCGTGATTTGAGTTATCTTTTAGTCTCTAAAGGCAGGCTGCAGAGTTTGCGTCTGACCATGTCTTGACATGTGACGTGACAGATGCCTAGGACCCAAGACTCCTGGGCTCCCACAGCTGTGTAGGGTCCATCATTTCCCTCCCTGGATGTCCAGGATGCAGCACTTGAGTTGTGTGCAGTCACAGCCTGAGAGAGACAGGCGAGACACATTCGCCATCACCAGATAGGCAGGAGCCAGAACGGGATGGTCAGGGTGGCTAAGGGACGCTTCCATCCCCCACTAGTGGGACTCTGGGAAGAGTAGTGTCTATAGTGGTGTAGTGACCGGCGGTGGCCAGGCCACCCTCTGACAGCAGCTTCCTACCTGGGGCCGCCCGTGAGAGGAGGAGGAGGAGCTCTGTCGCGGGCTCCCCAGATGCCCAAGGATCACCGCTGACGCCGCCGTTCGCGCTAAAGAAAAACTGGAGGTAACCTGACCGCCCGTGGATGTAAGGCTGGACAAACAAATGATGGTGTTTCACAAAATCGAGTTTTCGCCCTTAGAAATGAGCCTCGGCTATGTCTGTCATTAGCCATCTCTTCGTTAGGATGAATCTCGGAAACAGTGGGGAGCTGGAGGACAGGAGAGCAGGGTACAGGAGGATGCTACGTATGGAATGTTTCTCAACACGTAAATCGATGCGTTTACTAAGGACCCACAGAGATCCGGGGAAGAGACAGAACAGCGAGTGCAAGCATCATACAAATAGCAAAACCAGTGGCTGGGATTGACACTGGGGGTGGGCAGGGACCAGCAGTGGCTTCCATAAGGGTAAGTAGGACACTGGGTTTCAACTGTACGTGTGACTGTTTCGTTACTTTTAAGCCTGGTCATCAAATGTAGAGTAACTCCAGACTGGTCGGAGGTGGCGTGTGAGCTCAAAGGCACAGTTTATATTCCTTTCCTCCTTTGTCTGGTTCAAGTTTCCTGATAAAAAAAGAGCAAATCCCAATTCAAATAGAAGGCTTGGGTTTTTCAGGTTTTTTATTTTTTTCCTCCCCCTATTATATCCGTAGCAAACTCAGGAAATAAAAGCCACCCTGAAATTACAACGGATTGCAACACTTGGCTCTGACTTTGTGCAAGTTCAGTTGCAGGCCTAGAGGAAAAGAGAAGCACTTCAGAGTGTGAATCCAGTTGGCCTTGCCCTGGGAAGGACGCTCTGCGGGTGTTACCCTGGAGAGCGCTGCCACTCTGCCCCGGCTCAGCAGCTCCTGGTGCCTGAGCACTGGGGCAGGCAGCTATGGTGCATTCAAAGTTAATTCCTGCTCCCTAGACTCCTCCTTCCCTGCCGACTTTGCAGCCCCGCCCCTCCCCCACGCCCCCTGTGCAAAGACTCCACCGGACCCCTTCAGTGGAGAAAGCGGAGGGTGGGGGCAGCCTTTGAAAGACAAGGACCCGGTGGGCCCTGGTGCACAGCTTCCCGTGGCTGCTGTGACGTTACAGCGGGTCAAATGGCCTCAGGCAACACGTATTTTATTATCGCTCAGCTCTGGGTTTCAAAAAGTGTAAAACGCTTCTTGCTGGGCTGATGCCAAGGCGTTGACAGGACCGGCCCTTCTGAAGACTAAGGGAGACTCTGTGTTCTTGGTTTTTCCAGAATCACAGTCCTCAATTCCCACCCTCTTCCATCTCCAAAGCCAGCAATAGTAGCTACCCAAGCCCTTTCATGCCCCGTTCCCCTAACATTGACTCTTGTGTGTACACGTTCATGTGTATGTACATGTTCATGTGTGTGTACATATGGAGGCCAGAGGTCTACATGGGATGTCTTCCTCACCCACTCTCCATCTTACTCTCTGAGACTGGATCTCTCTCATGGACCCTGAATCTCACCAATTCCGCTAGAGC